ACCGCACACCACCTGACCCTTTTACCATTTGTAATAGCTCACGCCTATCGCTAGTAAATAATGTCCTCGTTGGACTTTTCCTTTTGAGGTTTCCCTCGAAGTTTTTAGAGAGAGGTTTTCACACATTTATAAAAAATACAATATAATATTAATTTATGAGCAACTACCCTAAGTACTTGCGCAATCAATAAGATTGGCAAGAAGTGAAGCCACCATTGGATGCCGATGCTTCGAGAACTACTACATTCAAAGCAACATCTTTACCCTTTCTTCGTGATTAAGTACACTTTCATTTTCCTCCATATCCCGCGCTTTGCTTTCGATCCTGAACACGACACAACAAAAGATATCGATACGCATGTTAAATTGGTTAATTTATAAATTTACTCTTTAAACTTTCAAAAGTTCATCGATTTTGTAAGAATTATATGTTTAATAGGTCTCTAACATGTAAAAGTCTTCTGAAATTAACGACGTTATGAGATATAAACTTTTTATTATAAGTTAGGTAAGAGACACAGAAATTCAGGACTTTTGAAACCTACGACTAGTTGGAGATTTTAGTTTGCTCGATCGTACTCGAGATTCTCTAACCTTAATGTATCACGAAAAGAATTCCGATTTGATCTTATACATGCTCAAACCGTTGATTCTTTGAACTTGCGGTACTTTTGTCGTCCGTAATTCTAAACCCTAAACCAGATACAACCGGAAATAAAAGCCAGGTAAATAATATATAAATAAATATATAAAGATGTACCTGAAGAAAGAGATGGTTGCTGGGTGTTGAAGTCGGCGGCATTTTCGTATCTTTTATAGTACGAAAGGAACCGCCAAAAATGGGGGACATGTGCGATCTTAGGCCAATCCTCGCCTCCCTCTCTGCATCTTTCTTCCAATTCCCGGCAACCCGCAATGCGGAGGTGATTCAAAGCTTTGAGTTCCCGGATTCCCTCCGGCAGTGATTTTAATTTTGGACACTCAAGAATCTCCAGCTCCTGAAGTGAAACCATCCCGCCAATCCATTCCGGTAAGCTCCTGAAATTAGGGCATTTTGATATTATCAGAAATTTCAGGGCAGTCCAATGCTGGACCTCGATTGGCAGCGACACTAGTTTCGGGAGATTCTCAAGACGCAAGAATTTCAGATTATGAAGGAATTTCCATTGCATAGCATCTCCAAGCTCTGTATAATTCCTGGTCGAGGTACTACTACTACGCGTTTCGTCGAAGAGTGAGTTCACCAAACTTTCGCATTCTGTTATATACAGAAATTTCAATGAATTGAGATTTTGTCGTAGTTTGTGTGATAAATTTTTTAGATCCTCGATTCCTTTGAGTTCTAGACTTTTCAAACTCGAAGATGGAGAGGTATTTGAACTGCTTCGTATGCTACTCATCATCTGTAGACCAACACCGTCTAATGTAATATCTGTTAAAGGTGGGTGTCCTGGCATGGTAGCTAGCTTGGGACAGTTGGAGATTGATAGTATAGTTAGACAGGGAAACGTTGGAAGGAATTCCTCTTCCACCATTGATTCCCTTTCCCACCATGCTTCCAAATTAGGCATATCCATTAAACATAGACTTTCTAGAGATGGAAAAAACAGTGCTGATGAGTATGGATCAGTGTTGTCTATGAATTTGAGAGATGTTAAGTTCACTAAGTATAGAGACTTGAGAGCAGGAAGGTGCTGGATCTGAGGTAGATTTTGCAGTCTCTTGCAGTTCACGATCATAATGCGAGTTAGCTTCATAAGTGGGCTGGACAAGGACAACCAGTTGGGTAATTTTACTCCAAAATACCCTGAAATTCTAAAGGATTCAATGGCTGGATTTGGTTCTAGCCCTGCTAATATTTCTTCATCAGCTTGGAATCTATGCTCATCCCCACTCAGATTCTTCCATATCAGTGTCAAATGTCGCAGACCTTTTTTCTCTTTCAGGTTTGCTAAACTGGCTTCCGATGGTGTGAACTTCAAATTCTCTAAACCTATAATCTCTAAGGATCCTCTTAGATCGTTCAGCCCATTCAGTTCGATTAGCTTACTCCCAAGCCTATGACTATGACTGTCCAACACAAATGAACTTAATGTCTGTAGACAAGTCAATTTTCCCATTCCTTCTGGCATATGGGTTAGATGGGTTGAATCAGATATGTTAAGATGCCTAAGATTTACCAGATTTCTAGTCCCTCTTGGCAGTTTCTTTAGAGCATAACATTGCTTTAGATTTAGTGTTTGCAGATTTACCAATGCAGTGACAGAATTTGGGAGTGATTTCATATAATTTCCAGATAGATCAAGATATCGAAGATGTGTAAGCCTTTTGATAGAATCTGGCACCCTTTTAATATTTGAGTACTTTAAATCTAGTACTCGCAAACGTGAAAATCTGCAAAAGAGCTCATCCAAAACAACTTCATTCATCTGATTCTTCCTGTCCAAGATATCATTGGATAAAATAAAGGTTCTCAATCCTTTTGCCTTGCGTAATTTGGATGGAACATGTTCCCATATTCCTATTTCACGGTCGAATAAGATATGGCGAGTACTTTCGCCAACAACATGATCATGATTCTGATTCCCACCTACATATTCGTTTCCTGCTACCATCCTAGCAAGATCATGCATCACATCATGGATATAAACATCATCCTCGAAGTTATGCTCATCATTAAAATTTTCATAGAAGAACCTCCAACACAATTCCATGAAATAGTCATTTCCTGTATCTTCCATGGATTTACACCCATTGAGTGATTGGACAAAACCTTGAGCCACCCATTGTCGAATCAATTCATCTTTATGGATGAGCCTATATTTAAGTAACAAGGACGAATAAGCAAAACATTGCTTTAAATTTGATGGAAGGTGGTTATAGCTCAATTTTAGTATCGATGCCATGTCGTGATCCCGTTGAATGACTTCCAAAAGTTGGTTATTCTTGAAGGATATCCATTCTTCTTCAGATTTTTCTATGTATAGCAGACGTCCTATATGCCTTATTACAAGAGGAACACCTCCACACTTCACCAAAATCTCTTTTCCTAATTGTATCAACTTCGGATTTTCTGGCTCGATACCATCCATGAATGCCACCTTTTTAAACAACGACCAAGAATCACTCTCTGATAGGCCCTTCAAAGTGATTAAAGACGTCATGTTTGAGATCTCTACCGCTAGTGTACTATCACGCTTTGTGATCATAATCTTACTCCCTCTCGCACCACCCATCAACAAGTTTTTCAATTCGAACCATTTTTGTTCGCTTTCATTCCATATATCATCCATAACCAACAGATATTTCTTTCCTTGGAGCATTTTTTGAAGCTGGGTTTGCAGAGATTCCATCCCATGTACATTAGGACGGCTATTGGTTGCGGATTCTATAATCTTCTCCACTACTATTTTCACTTCAAAATTTTGAGAAACCCAAACCCAAATTTTTAGATCAAAACATTGTGATACTTGTGAATCATTGAAGAGGGATCTAGCTAGTGTTGTCTTGCCTATTCCACTCATTCCAACTATTGCGATGAATGAAATATTGTCTTTGACATTCATATCTTGTAAAAGATCTTTTATTACTCTCTTATGATCATCCCTTCCGATCACCTCTTCATTATTTGAAAAAGAGTGAGTCTCTGCCCCCATATGAATTTGATCGAACGAACCATGCTGAGTCTTTTGTCCAATGATTTCAGTCAAATGAAAGTTCTTTCTTTCAGCAGCAATCACTCCCAACCTCTCTCTAACATTCTTTATTTGACGTGTCATCTTATAGTCAAATGCGATCGGGTTATATCTAGAGAAGAAGATCCTTACCTGCTTCGCTTTTCTTCCTCGACGAACAGCCTCACCAGAGATTTCATCAAGTACATCTTCTGCATCATAAAGAGCTTCTTTCAACTTCTCGAGCCAATCCTTCAAAAAGTGACTTTTAGTTTGGCGCTCCTCTGCATCAAGAACTACAGCTTTGATGGCTGAAACAGAGCTTTTGAGTTCGGTAAGCTCATCCTTGACTCCCCATAGCATTCCAAGTTGTTGGGAAGCTAGAGAGCTTAGTTTTTTAATGATATCCGCAGCTAGATTGAACAGAACTCCTTCAGCCATTGGTGTCATGGGAAACAGAATTGCTTTGTAAGATCTGAAGAACATTAAAGACTACCCATTTGACTTCCAGTTGAAAACTAAAACGAAACCAGGGCTCGAGGGGAGATTTTGTAAAGTTTAGGATGAAAATGGATGAACATCTACGATTGAAAAATTTTCCATCTGTTGTGGACAGCTCAAGGGATAATGATGTGACATACAAAACAGAAACGATGGGGACTTGGTCAAAGATTTATTACAATGTGAACACCACTTGCAACCGACAAGAATGCGAGTAAGGATACCCAAATTTTAATTTTGGAACCAATGCTTAAACTCAATTTGAGCTTTCCCAGTTATTTACTATTTTCTGCTTGCCATTATCAAAGTGTTTAGATTTTTTTTTTCCTCGGGAGTATACGAGATTGTCTTCAATGAATTATGATATTCGACCTAAACCCTAAAAAATATGATATTCGACCTAAACCCTAAAAAATATGATATTCGACCTATACCCTAAATATGATATCCGACCTAAACCCTAAACCCTAAAAAATATGATATTTGACTTGTCCCGTAAAAAAATTGTTTTATAATCATTTGAAGATCAAATTGAAAATTTGAATTCAAAATTATTATTATTTTTACCAGTATTGGAGATTGAATTTAAATCCTATAGAATTATGTATGAAAATTTTTATTAAACATTTGAATTCAAAATTTTTCAATTTAAAATTCATGGCATTACTTGTCCATTTTGGTTTGTCTTTTTTAAGAGCGTTTCCAAATATGACTTTGCTTCCTAATTTTTATCTATTTTCCATTCTTAGTGTCTCCATAGATTATCATTGTCCATTAGACAGTGAAAACGTAAATGAACCCATGTAGTACATGTAGATCTCACAATTTTGAAGAAAAGAAACTTGTTTTATTCCAAAACTCAAGAACCACATGAAGAGCAAAATTGTTCTCTTGAACGTTAAAGGTCGATAAGTGTTAAAATTTCATCACGAGTTTGTCGTGCTGAGGAACTCTAACAGCAATTTGATTCCATTGCTCGAAATAGAAAGAAAAAAAAAAAAAAATATAGCATCTTGACATGGTCAAGGCATATCATAGAACCGTCGATGTCTATCATCCAAGGTGCCGATCAGACACTCCTCCAGCAAAAATTCAGCATTCACCCAAGCATGGTATTTATCTGAAGGTTGTTTTAAGGACACAACTTTTTGTCACCAATTCAGAATTCATTAAATAAACCGATGGAAGCTGCACGAAAAATTGAAAATGGGCAACATTTGTTCCATCGTGATAGAAGTTATTGACAAAAAACGAAACAAAATTCCAAGGATACCGAATAAAGATGTACAATCTTTTCCCACTGCCTTCATGAGTATTTCAGTACCTGATAAAGAAGTTTGTCAAAAGGTCAAGTACTTCAAGAACATGCCTTTGATGTACTCTAATAACTCTCAATCATGATTTTAAAAATGCATTTCAAGAATCATCCCAAATAATAACTAGAAAGTACATGAAAGAATCAGAGTCAGGATTAGGAATATATTAGTAGAACTAGAAGCTAGTCTCTTATGAGCTATCTACCTAGGTCATGAATAAAGGAGACTAATCATCCTTCAAAGAATTGAATAACATGAAGATGTTGCCAATTTCCATCTTATTGAACATAAAATATTAGCAGAATCTATATATGCAAGAGTGGTAATTCTTGAACAGGAGACACCATAACATGCATTACAAACTAATCATACTACTTCACCAGATGGATTGGAAATTCACTATAAAAGATATTTTAACTTGGAAAGAATAAATTTGCATGATGCTCATACCTCCAGGGTGAAACTTCATATAAGGAGATAAATTGTACACGCGACCTCTCAGAACAGTCCACATGGAGCCCTCACTCTGATGTTGTTTAACTTCGCTCATAGGGATAAGCCTTTTATTTGACTGGCCTTTCAATTCTAATCCACATTCATGAACAAATGTTCAAAATCACTAGCATTATATCTCAGGGGGTAAATTAGTAACATTAACAATCCTGAAAACTACAAAAATGATCCTATTTTGCAACACAGATAATAACAATCATATTAATTCTGATGTAGGCACAAAGAAAATGGCAAGTGAGTCCTCTGTGAAGTTCATAATTTAGATAAAATAGATATTTAGTAGCTTTTCTGAATCTTGAACATGGCAAGCACCAGCTAGTTGCAAACAATCTCTCTAAAACAGCCTAAACAAACATCAACAGAGGGCAAGATTCCACGTAGACTTAGAAATAACAGTTTAATCTCTCAACTTTAGTTTCTAACGCTTTAATCCCTATCTATTCAATTTTGTAATAATTTGATCCATAAATTTTAGTATGTAACGATTTAGTCCATGTATCTTAGAATTTGGTAATAATTTGGTAATAATTTAATCTCTATCATGAAAAATATTGTAAAATTTTAATATTCCTAACATACGTAGATCAATAAAGGTCAATAAAGGTCAGGTCATCAAAGAATAAAAACCAACACTCAATTATGATGAATTCTTTCATTATAGGGATTGGAAGGTTACATACTAAAGTTCAATGACCAAATTGTTATAAATTTTAAATTTCAAGAACTATATTACAAATTAAATTCAAGGATTAAATTATTGTTTTCATCAAAGTTAAAAGAGCTTACCAAATTAAAAGATACACAATTGTCTTAACAAGAAGAATAAAAGAGTTGACAGATAGGCTCAAGCAAATCATAATATCAAAATGCAAGGCAATTTCACAAATACCTGCAAGATCAGGATGGGTTCGAGTAAGCTTAAGCCAATCCATTTGACTATATCCCTTCTCAAAAGGAACCTTTGTTCGAACTGCATGCTTACGAACAGCAATCCCTTGTTTTTTTGATTTCTTCACAACCTTTCCAGCATCTTTCCTCACCTCTTCTGTTGGCAACGTACTTGATTGTTTTGAAGACGAATTGAAATCCAAAGAACCAACTGTTGCCTGCTTTCTGGAATTGATATCATTCGATAGTTTATCATTCAAAATGACATGAGTCCTACTAACGGTGTTATTCGCCAATTCATCCCTCAAGGTAATATCGCCTATTTCTGATGCAAGATCCCTCGCCTCTTTATCATCCTTTTCAGCTAAACCCACCTACTATATTCATATAACAGTAACAGTAATATAACATACGTTGGATACCAAACATTTTTCCAACTGAAGATGGCGAAACAATAGAAAGAAGGAAACATGTCATTGAGTTAAAAACTTAAGACCTAATTTTATAGAATAAAAAGTATACTTGCCTGATAAAATGTGAAGTCATTATTAAAATCCATCTGAATATTTAGTCTCAAATTTCAAGCAACCTCTCTCATCCAACAGCAAAACTTCAAGAAATTGTTCTGCTGCATTACAATACCCGTAGTCAATAGATAGTAGATAGAACATGATTTTCCATTTAAATTTGATCTATATTTCAAATAAAGTGAATGCAATTTATTTAACTAGTGTCAGTGAACTTATTTCGAAATCAGCAAATTTAGACTCATTGTATAAATTAATATTACCCTTAGAAGAATATAAATATTATCATCATTATCTTGTGAAAGTAAAGGTAAGAAGACCGAACAAATGCAGTAATCTATGAATATTTCGAAGATCATCCATCAAGAAACAAGATCGATAGTTTACATTTATCATAGGAATGAAGAGGTAAAGCTTTTTTATTGGAGAACTGCACCAATTTATCACATAAACACAACTAACATGAACTAACACAGTGATGTTAAACTCGCACTATACAAAATTGCACCGTGCGAGTTGAAACAGATCGTCCAGTGGTTGATTCAAAGCGTATTTCTGAATCTAATTTTGCCGCATTGTCCGGTCCTATAGTCTAATTGTATAAAACAGAAGAAAATGGTAATCCGCGATTCAAAAAAAAAAAAAAGAATCGAATCACGACATCAGAAGAGAACTAATAGGAATCACACTGGTTGAGACTCAGAACCAAAACACAGAAGAGGAATGAAGAAGGAATTCAGAACGAAGGAAAAACAAAACAGAGAGACAAAAGGCATCAAAGTTAAAACTACCTGAATCGCTTGACAAAAAAGAATCGGTAATGAAAGCAGAGGAAAAGGCAATGCCACATTATCTTAACCATTCAAACTTGAAATTAGGAAGATGAAATCAATGAAAATGCGGCAGAAGAAATCTCAAGAAACTTGAGAAGGAGATTAATTTCTTGGTGTATATGCATAATCGTAAACAACCAAAAGAAAGCTATGAATCGTCAACTTACAGCCGGCGATCCTGTGACGACGAAGCTTCTGGACGGAATGTGAGGTCCCCAATCTCGTCGAGAGAGAGTACTGATCATAGTTGGGTTTTCTTTTATTTATTTGATCTTCTTTGAAGTACGATCATAATATTCTTGTGACTTAAAACAATCCTTAATTTTTTTTTGTGACATTTAAAAATATTTAATATTTTGAAACTTATAAATAAAATAGAAACTAAATTAGAAATTTAACTGAAATTGCAATATTCCTGGATTAATTCGAATTTGAATTCGAATTTAAATTTCAAATTCAAATACTATAAAAAAAAAAAAAAAATATATTTAATAGAGCCTTGGGTCGTATTGAAAATCAAGAAGATAAAACGAGATAAATAACTTCAACTTTAGCCAAGCCAAGAGTAGAGGTAGGTTGAGCATTAAAACTTGGTTGAAGAGAGTACTTGGCCGAAAGTAGAATCTAGTCGGCTAGATTCACAATCAATTGAAAATGCTGTTAGACAAGGTATATAACCTAATGAATCTTGGTATCTGCGTGTATAACCTAATGAATCTTGGTATCTGCGTGTATAACCTAATGAATCTTGGTATCTGCGGGTATAACCTAATGAATCTTGATATCTGCCTGTGTAACCTAATGAATCTTGATATCTGCCTGTATAACCTAATGAATCTTGGCATATGCGTGTATAACCTAATGAATCTTAGTATCTGCGTGTATAACCTAATGAATCTTGGTATCTGCATGTATAACCTAATGAATCTTGGTATCTGCGTGTATAACTTAATGAATCTTGGTATCTGCGTACATAACAACCTAATGAATCTTGGTATCTGCATACATAACAACCTAATGAATCTTGGTATCTGCGTACATAACCTAATGAATCTTGGTATCTGCGTATATAACCTAATGAATCTTAGTATCTGCATATATAACCTAAGGTTCAACATAGCCAGGTGCATTTTTAAATTTGTCAAAATTTGTTCTATTAAATGCTTATTTACTAAAATTTAAAATTAATTTCCTTCTTATTCCATTCAATAAAAAAAAATTATAATCGAAAAATGTCAACTAACATCTAGAAAAACATCAACGAAAAATGTCAACTAACATCTAGAAACTTTAGGTGGAAATGGGCATATATTCATTTTGAATAAAGTAAAAATTTTAACAAGTAAATGGGAAATGGGCACATCTAGAAATTTACTTGTACAAGTAAATTTCAGCCATTTGGAAAATTTTAATAATACAAATTTTGACCAAGTTTAATATTAACCTAAGTTTATATAGTATATTATAAGATAGGATTTTCTTTCCAAACCGTGGCTCTTGAATTAATTATAAATAATTTTAAATAGTAAGGACTAATTAAAAAACAAAAAAAAAATACTCGGAGAATATCTTTAGATGAAAATAATAATTGATTTAGGTTAAAGTTTATTTCAAAATAAACAAGAAAAACTTCTCAAATCTGTTGAAATGATTTTGAAATAATTAAAAATCATTTCAAAATATATTTTTAATCAGAAATTTGATAGTATGAATATCATATTTAAATCAAATCAAATGTAACATTGATTTTATATAATTAAAAATATATTTTCTAAGGTAACTTTGACAATTTCAAAACTACCCTCAACTCCATGAAACCGTATACCCAATTAAACTTTTTCAGTTAGAGTTGAGATTTTACCTTTGTAAATTTTCAAGGGATAAAAATCAAACTAATAAATAAAATATTACGTGTTTTTTTGGTAGAATATTATTTTAATCTTTGTAGTTTTCACTTAAAGTCCCTATCATTTTAAAATTTACAGTCCAATCCTTATAGTTTGGTTAAAACAACTTTATAAGGCTAAAAATGAAATAAACGCGAAAAATGGTAATTTAACTTTTCTTGGAGGTCACGGGAAGAATGTGAGATTAAATTACTAAATTACGAACTTTCAACGGAAAGTCTGATTCGCTGCGGATTCTTTTCTTTTCTTTTTCACATTACCAAACGAGATCAACATTTTCCCCTCAATTTCTTGCCTACTTTCCTGGGAGAGAAAAAAAACAACAAAATATATATATATATATATATTTATATATATCTATCAATTACAAGAACACTTGACAGGAAATCGGTATATTTTAGTGCATCAATTTGGATAATCATCGTCTTAAAAAGAAAACAGGATACAATCGGTCCTCATCTCACAGCGAATGAAATCATCAAAATCAAAAACAGAGCAAAAAAAACAAATCGAAAACTATTTTTCAAATTTTCTTTTCTCGATCGAAGAGAAACCTAAAGAGCATTTCATAACTTCCAACATTTCAATCACAATCAAACAGAGTAAAGAAAGAAATCAGTACTCTCAGCGCTGACGGCTACAACGGCGGCCGCGGCACTGCAAGGAACAATCTGATGAGACGACACATCGCCGCCGCTAAGGCGAAACTCCTGGCGGTCGGAGTGGTGGCCTTCGTTGGAGTTAGCCGGCGGATGGTAGTACATCCGAGCAGTCTGAGGACAATGCGAATGAAATCTGGCGACAATCCTGACGCCAGCGTCGAGAATCTCGACAAACTTCCCCATGGAGACGCCGGCCGACCGACCGAATAAAAATCCCTGCAACGATCGGAATCTGAACAGAGCAGCAGATCTCTCTTCGAGAGAGAGATGGAGGAGGCGATTGAAGAATTAGAATACGTCCCAAAGGAAGTCCATAAAAAGGGAGAGAGAAAAAAAGAGGTAGAGAGAGAATTTATGGTTACAAATGGAGGATTAAAATCGAGGGTTTGATATTTATAGGCACAGCTGGCTTCGCGATGTGCTCCGTTGGAATAATTACATTATTTTTTTAAAAAAGAAACACTTACATTAAAGTTTTGTTTTATTAAGATTTTATTTTTTATTTTTTAAAGAATATATTTTTTAAAAAAAAATTACTATTTTAAAATTTGTTAGTTTTTTTTTTTAAATAATAGAGAATATATAACAAATCAAATAAATTTATTGGTATAAATAATATTTATAAATTTAATTTTTATAAACCAAACCAAAAAAAATTAAGCCACGGTTTATGGTAAACGAGTCTAAAATTACTTTTTACTAGGGAAAAAAATTCTAAAATTACTTAAATGGATATTTACGCAGCTATACCATTTACAAAAAATATTTATAAATATATCTCATTATCCAAAATAATTACAAGAAAATTCCCATTTACAAAAAAACTATTTATAAATATATTTCACTGACCGAAATAATTACAAAATAATTACCATTTACGACAAATATTTATAAATATATCTCACTGTCCAAAATAATTACAAGAAAATTTCCATTTATTACCGAGACATGACAAGGATACATTTATTAAAATATGCATTTAATATATTATATATATAATTTTTATACCATATGAAAAAGTTAATGAATTTATTTATTATGTGTTTATCCGCGTGCATACGTGTCAATAAACGTTTGACTAATATTGACTTTCTACTGCTAGTGTCTATGGCTACAAAGTGTTCAAGTGTCGAGCATGTGTCCCATACAAAATGAATCTTTGTGTCAATCTAAAATGTAAATATACTGGTAGTTCAACTTTCCCGAAAAAATTAATTTCGTTTTATTGTAGATATGATGCCTCCCGTCTATCAACTTAACTTTTATACGACTTCTTAGCGTGCTTATTTGCATCAACGCACGTACGTGAATTTAGGGATGTGAGCTTCTTACGTTCTCTTGTTGTTGTAAGTCAGTGCATCAATGAGTGGTAGCGATTGGACGAGCATGGAAAGGCTACAAGACAGGAGATCAGGAAAAATATTTTTATTATATTTAATTTCATAATGATAATAATTGATTTTTTTTATTTATAAATAAAATAGTAATTTAAATTGAAGATAGATTTAATGTCAACAGCGCCTGTGGCCTAATGGATAAGGCGTTTGACTTCTAATCAAACGATTGTGGGTTCGAATCCCACCAGGCGTGAGTATATGGCTTTTTTAATTTTATTTTGGGCCATCATAATGGGCCTCCTAATACACCTGGCCCATCTAAAAGCCCAACAAATTTAAAACGTAACCCTTGGGGGATACGGAGGGGAAGAAGTTTTGTTCATAAAAGACGTTTGCGTTCTTTGCTTCAATTTTTGGCCCAAAGCTGTGTTGGAGGCTCTCGATGAGGCTGTTCTGGAGAATCTCTGGAAGCTGCTCTTAAGGTTGGTTGATCTTATGGAATCTTCTGTTTTTGTTTTTGGTTTTCGTACTTTTTTCAATGTTTTCTCTCCAAGAGCAGAGCATTTTAGAATATTAAGAGGTTGTGAAATGATTGGAGCTGATTGCGAATACTCTTTCTGTCTTCTGTTGAATTTACAAGCGGAAAGCTAAAGTTAAGTTGATAGATTATGCTAAAAAGTTTAAGTTTAATGTGTTAGTGTAAACTTAAGTTTTTATCAATACTTTGATGAACCGAACATGAATTTCCTATAAATTCCACATTGATTGTGGCTAAAATGAACAATTTCCACTCTGCCATTGAGGAATGAGCAGTAACATGCCTTCTAAGTGTGGTCAGTTTCCTTCCAGAAGCCTTTAGCACTGGAAGTTGTGTAAATATTAGGAAGTGAAAGATTTAAATGAGAAGTTTGAATTGAAGCATCCTCTAGAATCCTAAGACTTCTGCCATTTCTTTGCTTCAATTTTTGGCCCAAAGCTGTGTTGGAGGCTCTCGATGAGGCTGTTCTGGAGAATCTCTGGAAGCTGCTCTTAAGGTTGGTTGATCTTATGGAATCTTCTGTTTTTGTTTTTGGTTTTCGTACTTTTTTCAATGTTTTCTCTCCAAGAGCAGAGCATTTTAGAATATTAAGAGGTTGTGAAATGATTGGAGCTGATTGCGAATACTCTTTCTGTCTTCTGTTGAATTTACAAGCGGAAAGCTAAAGTTAAGTTGATAGATTATGCTAAAAAGTTTAAGTTTAATGTGTTAGTGTAAACTTAAGTTTTTATCAATACTTTGATGAACCGAACATGAATTTCCTATAAATTCCACATTGATTGTGGCTAAAATGAACAATTTCCACTCTGCCATTGAGGAATGAGCAGTAACATGCCTTCTAAGTGTGGTCAGTTTCCTTCCAGAAGCCTTTAGCACTGGAAGTTGTGTAAATATTAGGAAGTGAAAGATTTAAATGAGAAGTTTGAATTGAAGCATCCTCTAGAATCCTAAGACTTCTGCCATTTCTTAACTTGGAGGAAACTTTAAGCTCTGGCTGTAGCAATTTCAATACCAGACGGCCAAAGCTTCTTCTACCTAAAATTTTTCTCAGGAACAAATTAAGGCTGTCGACCCCTTTTATATCTGAGATGATGTGTCACCATCGGATGTTGTCTCCAAGAAAGAACCTCTACAGTTGTTTTGATATCTTGGAATGAAGCTTGAGAGGTTGTTAGGTTTAATGCGTCATTTGGCCTTTTTCGGTAGACCTTATCTATACCAATAAAGTGCACCTTTCTTTTCGGTGACTTAATCATAGGGACTACGTGGTTGGTTAAGCGTGTTTTACTTGAAGTAATTCTATGTTGGGTGACCTCTTCAAAATTTTCTCGGAATGCATGTGAATGATAACAAAATATACTGGAAGCTCCGCATTGGTATGTCATAGTTTTCACTCTTAAGAAGCGAGAAGTAGGTATAGTAACCATGTCGGAAGGGAATGTCGGGTCATCAAGTGCCGCATCCAGATTTCAAATTCTTATTCGGTTCTGAGCATGGATTATTACACCAAAGGTTTGTGTTTATTCAAGCTCATTGTAGAAAACATTTCTTTCGAGAACTCTGTGATAGGGCAATGAATATCCTTCCTACAAGTAAAGTTTCTTGATTATCTTGATTCTGAAGGATCCATATGTTAACATGTAAGCGCACCTTTCTTCATTCTCTATCTAGTTGCTAAAAATTTCTCAAAATACAGAGTATAATTAGCACAATCCCCCCATAAGCTTAATGGGACTACTATTCCATCTCAAGGCAATGAACCGTTAGCAAAAAAACATTTCTCTATTGTCTTTTCAGAGCTATCTGAATATCACAAATGGTTTGGTGCTAGAGTAGATCTAGCTCTCTAGCATTATGGCTTCCAATGGCTGGAATTGGACTACAGCTCGACTCAAGATGCTTCTCATACTGTTATACCATGGCCCGTTGTGCTATGCCTAATCTTCTCGTATCCTTCACTATGACTATGATCCAAGTTGAGCTCATCTAAAACTTGTTCATACACATCCTTACACCTACATTCATACTCGGCCATAATTTTAGGAACGTGGGGTGGGCTCCTTGGCCCTTGTCAATATTCAAAGTGATATCATAAACTTTTGCCCTCAAATAGTTTATAAAAGAGACTCACTTTCAAAATAGTGCTTTCAGAAGCTGGAATATTTGAATATATTTGGCAGAATTAGGACCTATCTTCTTAGAAACTGTTGAAAAGTAGTGTATAGAGTTGGTACCAAAACATTTTAAGAATAGACAAATGGGAAGAAAACAACCCAAACATGTGTATGAATGGCATTAGAAGAGTACAAAAGTGGGGGAATGATGGAATATGAAAGGAACAATAGGGTGTTTTCAATAGTCATTAAATTTGAAACCCATGAAAAGTGAAATTGAAAGCAGTGAGAAAACCAATAAGGTGGTAGTGGAGCAATCACAAAGAAAACAATGGCTTATGAAGTTGGATAAAGAAAAACTAACCCATCAATCTGTTTTCAAAACAAAGAACAATGCATTGGAAAAAGACATCATTTTTTTAAGGAAAATATGGGTTTATAAGACCAATGTTTTTCAACCCCCAATAATTTTGGATTATGGGTCAATGCTAAGGACTTGTTTGGATGGACATAATAATATTCCTTTTTCTATGAGTGACAGTTTATGGGATTTATTTATATTCCAAAGATGGATTTGACAAAACCCACAAATCCATATATTCTCTCATTCCTTTTTTGCGGCACATCGTTCATCCACTACCAACCACTTAAACAACTTGTTATTATGCTGATAAAGCCCTCTAATCAAATTATTTTTTTATTACAAAAATCTCCCAAAGTCGGTAATTATTTATTAGGAAGAGGTCAAATTGAGTATAGTTGAACGATTATGAGACTTAAATTCTTATTATTTAAGTTTGTGTTTAAAAGGTCTCTGAATCCTTTGAGGAGCTTGATCACTTCAACATATGTCAATGGGTCAAAAAATTCGTGAACGTTTAATTTAGTCAGTAACGAGTCATTCATGAATGTAGAGGAGCTTTGCACAAATTCACGAGAACAAACACAAAGACTGTTTAAAAGAATGATGAAATTTTGGGTTTCTTAGTAATGAATGATTGGATAATAGAATTGGATTCCTTTCGTCTTCTAACATTCACACAGATTTTTCAAAAAGTAGATTTCATGAGTATGCAGCAGCCTGACTAATGGGAATGAGACAAGTGTATAAGAAATAGAATAATTCCAAGCAATCCTAGCTAGCTATTTCATGGGACCCAATTTCCCATTTATCAATTTAGATTCTTCTTTTCCCATTTCCTTTTTTTTCGGTTCCTTTAATTTGTACATCGTCAAATTCTTTCAAATTTAACATCATCTTTGGTTTGCAGAAGGAAACTTTTTTGTTTAATTATTTATTTATCATATGTTTGAGTATGTCATTTATTTCAAGGTTTTCGTCGTTCTTTTACCTATATATATTGTAACCGACTAAATCTCGTTTTATTGGTGTGAACTATATTTTAAAAGTAAACTAAACGAGAGCTTACTTTAAATTAAAATTGATATCAGTTGACTCTCGAGATTCATTTTTATTCTATTAGCTATTCATTCGAGATTCGTAAAAAATTTTAAGTTGTTGGATTCGTAAAAATTTTTACTGACTACTCGCTTTGCTTTTGCTATTAGCTCTTGCTAGTACTTTAGGAGCTTAAAATGAGAATTCTCTCCTCCCGTTCTTTTCCAAAGGTTCAAGATCTCTATTGGAAGTATTTGTATTACTAATACAGATAAATTACCCCTTTTTTTTTTTATAAACTTACGACTACTATTGTGATTGACACGTAAAACTTGAATGATACTATTTATAAGTTGATCTTCTTTAAAGTTGTACACATGGGAGGGAAAACATTAGCTCTAGCTATGGGCTAATATTGGAGGAAGAAAGTCAAAGAAAGGACACATAAATCAAAGTGCTCCACTAGCCTTGCTTACCTTCCATGGGATAATTATAAGCTCCTTCTTTTGGAGAGAAAATATTGGGATCTTTACAAGCTTTGAAGGTTGAATGGAGAAATTGGGTCCAAAAGGAGCCCTATATGTGTAGTGCCATTTGGTAATAAAGAAGGATGTAGTCTCATCTTTCATAAGTCACAACTCAACTATTTCGGTGCTTTTTTTTCTTCATTGGATGGTTTGAACATCAACCAATGGTGTGACAACGAGAAAATTTGGACTTGGACCCCTGAATTTAAGGACAATACGTCATCCCATGCATCATTGAATATAAGATCTTAAAACCTATACCTAAAAAATAATGTACACCCATTTATCAAATCAAACTTTCGTTAATCAAGATAGTTTAACATCACTAGATTAGAATTTGATGTAATTCAATTCTAGAACATAATAACTCAAATATTACACAAAAATCAAACTCGAGTTTGCTTATACTTTAAGTTTTTTTTTTTTGGTCCTCCATTTATGACTTATTTTTGTTTCATGCATATTGCTCAAAACCCTAAGTTGAGTGGGGGAGGTCACCAATTCCATTAATGCTCCTATTCTTACTCTATGCCCTCTTTGTCATGCACATTTTTCCAAACTTCATTGCTAAGTGAAGCAAAATATATATATATATATATATATATATATATAGAAAAGTTGGAATTTTTTCCCCATTTTGTGCCCAATTTATGAGTTTATTAAATTATTTGTTGTTTTTTTATGATTCGAATCTCTAATTTTTTTTAGTCGAAACTCTACGAAGATTAATTTATTTAAAAATATAAATATAAATTTGGATTAAAAAGGGTGATATTTATGAAATATTTGTTAGGTACTCTTATTATTAATAATATTAATGAAAGACAATTTGGATAAAATGTTTTGAAAGCTACATCACTATCCACAAGATTTGCTCCCTACTCTGCCAAGGAAACATAATTTTCTTTAGGCCCTTCACTTTCTTTAATTATAAGCTTTGCTTTATCCTTGGTCATTTCAGCCCCACTTTTACAATTATTAACCTCCCCCTCAAATTGACCATCAATCCCCACTCCAATTTTTTTATTCATAATCATAGGCTTAAAAAAAATTATTTTTATCCCTATAATTATTAAAATAAATAATTATGCCGAATGAAATTGATGTCATATACTACAACCGTCGTGTTAAAGTCGATGTTAATTAAAATTTAATTGCAATAATAAAATTAAATCTCTAAATTTAAAATTTTAATTTTTGATATGGTAATGAATGTAGTTGAGTGAAGGCGTGCAAGTTTGGATATATTGTTATTATCTTGTGATTTTAATTATAAATAAATAAATAAAGGTTTAAATTTCTTTTTGTAAATTTTAATAATTTAATTTAAATCTCATAAATTTAATAAAAAAATCTTTTTTTTTAATTATATATTTGTTTCAAATTTTTATTTTATATGTAACAAGTAATTGTTAATTTTTTTTTTATAAATGATGACAAATTTGTCAACGTGGACACCACGCAACAGCAAATTTGCCACGTCACCCATTTTATAACAGTACATTGACACGATTTCAGTATGTATCACGTGTCTTTCTATTTTCCTTTTTTTTCTTTTAGTACTCATTTGATTTTTTTTTTATAATTTTTTTAATATATACTTTTCATTTTCCAATCTATAATCTAGACCATTAATTGGTATTAATATTATTAGAAATTGAAGTTAAATTATTTTTTATTAATCAAATCTTTTTTAACCTTCGATAATAAACAAAATATAAAATTACCGATGTTAATTGTGCCCGAACCAAATTTAATAATATAAATTAATAGTTGAATTAATAATAATAATAATAATAAATGAAGCGAAAACAACATAAAATAAATTAATTCAATTAGTAAAAAAAAATTTAAAAAGTCAATTCAAATATAAAAAAAGTATTTATTAGGTGAAAATCAAATAGATGAAAGCAAAATATTAAACGTGAAACAAATTATAACTTAATTTAGAAAGTTTCTCGTGTGAGTTTAATTTATATATTTTTATACTAAGACAGATCGAGGAAATAGTGAGGTCTCAAAATTCGGAGAAATCTTTTCACACTAATAACTAAAATTATATTTATTTAAATTTAAATTAAACATTTACGGGTCACAAACACATTACTTAACATCAATTATAAAAATTAAATATTAATTTTTAATTTGACTAGTAATAGTCCAATAGACTCGAGTACATTTAATTCAACCAAATTTAATATTTTTTAAAAAATATAATTAAAATAAAATAAACAATTAAGATTAGGTAGGCCATATTATTTGAGTCATTTATATATGACCATATAACATATGATTTAAAATTATAATAACAATGAACATAATAAACATCATAAACATGTATCTCGAATAAAAGAATCTAAAGAATCAATATAAACAATATAGTATAAAAATAATAATAAATCAGAAAACGAGTACAGTGACCCACGATTCATCCACTACAACCGTTGACTTCCAATTTCCATTTGTTCTTTAATTTAATTATTTATTATATATTATCTTTGATTCATCCACTGCTGCCAATGTGTACGGTTTTATTCATCAATCTATATTTTATAATATAGTTTATATGTTAAGAAAATTGCCAATATATATATTTAAAATATAAAATAGCGTTACAGTAATCAATAAATATAAAATTATTAATCAGCCGAATAGAATTTAAAACAAAAAAATTTAAAACAAAAAAATTTAGTGCAAAACAAGGTGGTTAGCGGTGGGTTTAGACTGTTACAAATGGTATTAGAATCCGATGTTGAGTAGTGTGCTAGTGAGGACTGTGGGCCCCAAGAGGGTGGATTGTGAGGTCTCACATCGGTTGGAGAAATAAACGAAACATTTCTTATAAGGGTGTAGAAACCTCTCCCTAATAGACACATTTTAAAACATTGAAAAGTCTAAAAAGGACAATATCTAGTGGTATTAGACTGTTACAATTAAACATTCACAAGCCACACTGCATCGCTAACATCAGTTATAAACATCAAAAGTAGAGTACGGTCGAATTATAACACTATTTTTGAATTGATTAAATTAACTCGACTAATAAATATGTTTAATTATCAAATTTGATGCCAAATTTGTCATATGTCACATAATAACTTTATTAGATAAGATACATGAATTTAACTTTTTCATATCTCTATATTTAAAAAAAAATGTTAATTTTAATATTAGAATATAATAATAATAATAAATAATAAATAATAAAAATTAAATAGATTAATATTATATTATGGGGAAAAAACAAAAGGTGAGATGGGAAAACAGAAGGGAAGGTTAGCGGGACAGACTGTTTGGAAGCAGGAACAGCAGGGGTAGCGTGGACCTTGCTTGTTTGTTTCCGGCCGCCGGTTACCCAGCTGTCAAAATTACCACCGTGACAGACAGCTTCAATTACAACAACACCCTTTCGGATTTCCGCTTACACGTGTCGTATCAACCTCGACACGTGCGGTGCAGGTGCGGTCCCTTTTTTTTTTTTTTTTTCCCTTCTTCTCCTCTTTGATCCTCTGGGTCCCACTCCCATTCAATGTCTTTCACGTTCTGACGTTGACCACACCCTTACGTACACCTCTCCCCATTCCCATTTTACCAAAATACCCTCCTCCCTTCTCGACTAATTTTTAAATTATAAATTTGAAAAAAATATATATATATCGCAAAATTAAAATGTGAAAATTCGTATGACTAATAATTATTCAAGAAATATTTGTTTAATAATTAAAATAATATATATATTGGAAATAATAGGTATGGGAAGGGAAGACTGAAGGGTACAATAGTACAAGTACAGCCATAATTTTTTTTAATTTATTGAAAATAAAAAAAATAAAAAATAAATAAAAAACTTGTCTTATACACTATACATAATTAAAATATGTTTATAAATTATAGGTTGTTTGACTCGGTCGAATTCCGATATTGCCCCTCAAACATAAATAATTGGAATAATGTCGCTTACTGTTTTTATTTTTATTTTAATTTTAATTCTGTTTTTGGTATTGTACTCTTTAACATTTCTTTCTATTTTTGTTAATTTTGGTTTCTGTAATTTAAAGGATTCTGTTTTCAATTTGAATATTCTATTTTATTAATTTATTGTTTTTTTTTCCATCGGAAAATGAGAAGAAAAACAATTGTTTTTTTTAATTATATTGTAATTAAAAAAAAATTAGTTGGAGAATTATTAAATTTATCCCTAAATGTTCGATTATATTGATTAATTTTTTTTTTAATTTAATCCGTTATTAGAATTTAATGCGTAATTTTTCACAAATATTAGATTTTCTTAAATGCAAGAATTAATATAAATGAGAGAAAATGTGATAATTAAATAGATAATAATGTGTTTCATAGTTTATTTTCTCTATTTATTTAAAATAATTGTGAATTTTTAATATATATATATACATATATAGTGCTAAATAAATCAATTTAAATAATTTAAATATGGTTGATGTCCGAATTTAAAAATAAAAAGCACGTTTGAAATTTGTATGTAATTTTTATTACGAATTTTATTCTCGTCAAACAATTAATTAAAATAAAATTTTATATTCTTATTTGATTTTTTTAATTTTATATTCTTATTTGATTTATTTTTGGTGAATTAGACATTTGTGTTGATGAAAGTCACGTGAGCTAAAGTCACATGGGGTAATTTAAGAAATGATCATGAGTTTATAATCGAAGAATACTCGCTCCATTATTATTGGTACGAGCCTGGAAGTCCAAAGCAAAATAATGAGAGTTTATACTCAAAGTGGATAATATCATACCATTGTGGAGAGTCGTGTTCATCTAACGTGGTATCAGAGCCATATTGATAAATTATGTAAGACTTCAAAATAAAAGGAGTCGAGGCTTCGCTTCCTCGAAGCCATAGTAAAAAAAATGATCATGGGTTTAGATCAAGGATCTCTAATTATTTTTATTTTTATTTATTTTTTACTCTAATTTTGTTATTTTAATTTTTAATTTTTAATTTTTTTTGAGTGAGCAGGTAGAAGGATGAAGTTGGAAATTTGAACGTGAAATTCTCTCTCATCTGTTCACTTCTCTCTCTTAATTTTAGGAATGGAGTACAAGATTGGGAATCTCCACCCAAAGAGGTGAGTCCAGAAAAAAAAAAACTATATAAACCGACTCCCGCTATTTCTTCAATTATCGTTA